AGTGTATCCAAGAAGGCTATGGGTACCCTGGCGCGATTAGAAGATCCTTCCTCGATTTTGACAAAGAACTTTTCGGCCGAGTGTTTGGGACATTTGTTCGACCAATGTTGGAACATTGTTTTCAGGCATGGGGTCCCTGGACAAAGCAAGATGACACCCTACTTGAAAATGTACAACGAAGAGCAACCAAACTGGTCGGCGGATTAAGTAGCTTATCTTCTGAGACACGCCTGCATAGGTTGAAAATATTTCCTCTCTCTTATAGACAATACAGAGGGGATATGATCATGGCCTTCAGGATCGTCTGAGGTCAAGACTGTGCTCTTCAGTTTGACGATCTCCTCGAACCGGCACGAACGACCAAACTTCGAGTGCACCCATACAAACTGGAGATAGAGTATTCCGAACTTGAAGTGCGGGCCAAGTTCTTCTCTCACTAACTGGTTGATCGATGGAACAAATTGCCGAAAGCGTTAAGACCGTCAAGAAAGACTTGATAAATTTATGCTTGAAGGTCAAACATTTACTTGATATCAATGACTGGCGTAACTGCTATGCAAATATGTGCATGCTTATCATCCGTCTATCTGTAAATGGGGTTTTCCAAGGCACTGCCAATATCCCTCATACATACGGAATCAACAGGAAGGATGATCGAATAGCTGGCTTCCGTGGCTCAATGTCGGTATACGTATCACATTTCGCCTAAGCAGCTCAGCCAGACCCAATGTCATAAGGGGCTGATGTTTCTACACAGCGCACAAATAAAAGACTTAGCTGACGAAGTTTATGCCGACGAGTTGATGAGGAACCACTTTATAGCGTCGGTCCATTGGTCAACAGTGGCAAAAATCGCAGCGTCCGTGTTGCTTTTCAAGACTTCCTGGAAACTCAGTCCTATAAAACTTTTCAAGACTCATTCTTGGATTATGTTTCACTATTTATCGACGAAGGTTTGGTCTTTGCACAGTTTGTTTAGATTGCACTAATACATATGATTATGTTATATATTCTCCTCTTTTCTTAAAGCCTTCATCTTCCGGAGTGATTTAGTGAATTTGGAGAAAATGTTACTATTCCATGTGGAGGATTTGAAACCACGTGGTTTCATGGTAATTTG